TGGTGGTACTAGGGATTAAACCAAGGGCCTAGCACATGCTAGGCAAGTACTCTACCACTAAGCAATACACCAGCCCTTTCTGCATTTTATTTTGAGATGGGACTTCTCCTAAGCTGCCCATGCTGGCCTCCAATTTGTGATCCTCCTTCCTCAGTCTCCCAAGTAGCTGGGCAGTTTCCCCCTTTCTACTCAATCATTCCCATATGCACACAAGTATGTTCTCACTCTCCCATTTTTGCACCCATTTCCTCTACCATCTACCACCCCATGTGTCTGCATACATTTGTAGTAACTGCTTGACAGTTGTTGATTCTGTCTCTAATTCAACTCTTCCCATTATATCTTACTACAACCCCAACTCCACCAAAATAGCTCACTGTTACCTCATAAATGATAAATCAAATAGTCAATTTTCAGTCCTTAAATGACCTATCAGAAGCATTTGACACAGTTGATCACTTCTTCCTCAAGTAAGCTTCCAAAATGCATTTTCATTGTTTTCCTCATACATTTGTTCCTTCTCCACTTTTTCTGCTGGTTCCTCTTTCTCTCAGACCCCTTAACAACTGAAGTGCCCCAGTGTTCAGTCCTTAGGTCTTTCCTCATATTTCTCTCTATATCCAAATTTTGCTGACTTCATCCAATGTCACAACTTTAAATAGCATCCATATGCTTTTGATACACATATTTCTATTTGTAGCCCAGTCCGTTCTCCTGAACACTAGATTCCATGCATCCAGTTATTGATTCAAATTCAGTGATTTACCAGATTCAAATATCAGTTATTTACACTTGGATATGGAACACATATCTCAAAAATTAACACATACACAACTGAATTCTACATTCCCACCTCCAACATTCTGAACCCATTTCACCTGAAATTTTCCGCATCTCAGTAGATAATACCATCTTTATAGCTGCTTGGTCCAAAAAAAATTTCAAAATAGTCCTCCACTCTACTTTCTCACATCCTGCATCCAATCCATCAAAAACTATTATTGCTCTATCTTCAAAATATATTTAGAATCTTATCAACATTCACTGCTACCATAATCAGTCAGATGAATCCTTTTAAAATCAACACAAATATGCACAAGCACATCCCACACACCCACTCACCATTCATATCACCACTGGAGGTTGCTACTAAAGAAACTCTTTACTCTGACAGCTGGTAATTAATGGGAAAAATTAAAGCACACGTCTGACTTTCCAGTAGAAACTGCATTTTTAAGGAAACCAAATGGCCTGAGCTGATAAAGGGCAGCTCTTCTTTGTTGAAGAATGACAGCTAATGATTATAGAGGTAAATTAGCATTAGTAAATCAGCAATTTAGAACCTCTAAGGAAAAAAAATGTGGCTCAAGAAAGGATTAACCATGGATTATAAACCATTTAACAAAAGGTTGATAAGAAACTGAATGTTCACAAGATGACATAGTATTTACCTTGCTACTGATGAGAAGGGGAATGTCACTGTATAATGGAGGCATCAGGCTGCCACCATTACTGAATCATTTAAAGATAGTCATTAGAGTTATGCAATATACAACATTATAACCATATATTTTTGTCATTGATCATTTTACTCAGTATAATCAAGCCTTTAGACTCAACTCCAAGTATATAAGAAATACAGGGACAAAGAACAAATTAATCCAACTGTGAAAAAGCAATTATATAAATCCAAAAGGTAGAGTCTTCTAGGGATTTGCCTTGTCAATATTATGCAATGCTGTGGAGTGGGGAAGAGATGAGCTCAATTAAGAAAAAAATGTAGCCTCAGCACCTAGTACCCAAGAGGTGTTCAATCAACATTTCTTAAATGAATGAATTTGGGGTAAGCATAACAGGGCTTGACCATGTTAACACTGTTTTGAACCAGAAATCAAGGGGTTGAGACACAGATGAGAGCCACAATCTCTTTTCCTGTGGCAAAACAACTCTAGCCAAACTTGCCTTTTAGTACCCTTACGCTTCGTAGCACTTCTTTCCTACTGTTCTTTGTGCTTTACCTTATCCCTATATTTCCCTTAACCCTGTAAGAGGAACAGAGATGTGCCTGCCATTACTCTTCAAAATGATCATGTGCTTTAAAACTGCTTACATCTTCTATTACTCTTCCAAGTCAAAACATTCAGTATCACAGGTTGATATTAGAATTAAATCCCTCTTGCCAACATCATAGTAGGAAAATTTAGTTCTGCCTACAGAAGCCTGCTGTTCCAAACAATTCCCAATTGGTCAAAATATGGGTTGGTAGAAAGGAGAGGAAACATCTTCAGGAAGTCATGGAAAAGGGGTATGGTGGAGTTAGGCAAAGTACAGGTTGACCATACATGCCTGGGAGCCAATTCTCAAGGATATATTTCCTAAGCAGTTTTTGATTTTCATAGCTTTCCTTACTTTTCTTCCCATACAAAATAACTAAAATCCCTGATATTTCTTTCCCTACCTTTAGTGGCCCTGGATACAACAGATTCTCACAAGGAAAAAATAGCAATAGAAACAATTTTTCTACTGCAATTAGAATAGAAACAATGTTAACAATTAGAACAGAAACAACCTTAACAATAGAAAAAATGTTCCTAGCAACAGAAACAGTGGACCAGTATTACTTAAAGCAATATGAGACTCACTCCTTCCAATAATAGGTTATTTTTAAATCAGATATTTTTTGGATGGATACTTCTTATTAAGAAAAACAATGCCCATTATCTACAAAAAAAAAAAAAAAGGATTATTTGAAAACTGTCAGGCACTTCTCCAGTATACTTCCGCTCAAAAAAAAAGCTACATAAGAATATTTTCATAAGATTTTTTTATTCTAAAACCAACCACTGAGATAACTTGATGTTATATAGTTCATCATTATTCACTGTAATATACTCTAAAATCTACAGTATCCAAAACCCTAACATATATTCTAATTAATCATGCCCAAAATTAAATGTTAGCTACCTTTTTGCCACAGAGGTTGGCTTTATGTTCTCAAACCCAAAGCAATCATGCTGCCTCTTAAAATCTGATGAAGTACTTGAAACTCTGTTTCCTTAAACTAAGAGTTTTTTCTCAGGCTCCTGACAGGAAAAGGAACACCCTGCCATTGCTAATTTTTAAACAAATGTATAGTACTCTCTTGCCCAAAACGCTGCCATGCACCTTGTTTGGGCTTGAAAGCTATATGCTTTTGAATTCTGATCTGCTTTATCTTCTGGAGCATTCTATCTCCTGGACCATTAGAGGGAATACACAAATAAAAGATAAGCAGAGACAGCAGGTGCTATATCATTCTTTTTATCCTAAACACAAGCTCCAAGAGTACGGGAATGGACCTTCCTCTTCAGCAAAGTACTACCAGTGTCTAGCAAAGCAACAGGATGTAATTAACATTCAATGAATGAGAATTTTTTGAGTAGCTGATTATCCCAGGTAAGTAGGCACATTAGCAAAGCTATACCAAAAGTACAGTGAAGGCCTTATTAAATTAAAATATTCCCTGCTCTCAAGAGAATTATCTTCATAAAACATAGAGCACACATTTACAATTAATAAACATTCACCATAGGCTAATTCCAGACATTAATAAAACATAGAATCTGCCCTATATGGCTCACAATCTGGCAAAAAAAAAAAAAAGTTTATTTGGGGCTGGTGATGTGGCTCAAGCGGTAGCGTGCTAGCCTGGCATGCGTGTGGCCCAGGTTCGATCCTCAGCACCACATACAAACAAGAATGTTGTGTCCGCCAAAAACTGAAAAATAAATATTAAAAAAAAGAAAAGTTTATTCTATGTAACCTGATGAAGTGTTAGAAATGTGTGTGTCAGGTTTTATGTGAATACATATTAAGAAATGACTAATTCTGAATAGGTAAAGTGCCAGTTAAGACTTTATAGAGCAAGTAGCACATTTATTCTTAAAGAATAAATAGGAGTTCACAAGATGAAGAAAAGAAAGAGGGTTTTCTAGTTATAAGGAACTGCATGAACAAAAGTTCATAGCAATGTCTATAACTAAATGTGGGAAATAGCTAGTCATTTGATAATGACTAGAATATCAGATTTAAGGGAAAAAATGACTACGATAAGTCTGAGGAAAAAAGAACAGTGCCAGATTGATGAGCTTTTTCTGCTACACATATACATTTGGATTTCATCCTATAAGCAAAGATTTTTTTAAATATTTATTTTTTAGTTATAGTCGGACACAATACCTTTATTTTATTTATTTATTTTTATGTGGTGCTGAGGATCAAACCCAGGGCCTCGCACTTGCTAAGTGAGCACTCTATTGCTCAACCACAACCCCAGGCTTTTAAGCAAAGATTTTTGAACCTCAATTAAACCTTTTAAGAATATAACAGTGATAATATGAAGGATGAATTTGAAAGAAATAACCAGAGGCATAGATTAGATTGACAGCTTTTGTAGAGACTCAATGAAAAATTATGTAAGATATGCCTCACGTACTTATTCGTGTCCATAAAAAATTCCAATAGCCATTTTCTATATAATAAAATTCTAATCTGACACAACATTCAAGGCCTATGACAACTAAAGTGCACCTACCTTTCCAGAGTCATTTTCTGTCCTTTCTTTTCCCATTTTATAATCCAGGCACATTCTAGACCTGGACCATTCCTTCAATCAGTTATGTATATTCACACCACCACATCTTCACTATCACACTGTTTACCACTCCTGCGTAGAAAACTCATAACAAACTCCTACTTATTCTTTAAAGACCAGGTCAAAAAAAGGTTACATCAATAAAGTCTTCCCTGAATCCATCTTTTCTGAGACAAAATTTAATCATGCTCTCCTCTATGCTTTCATACCACATCATTCATACTACTAGGATGGTACTCATTATGATGCATCATTAGCTCTCCATTGCTTTAAATAAATCAGAGCTGAAACAAATCATTTATAAATGAAACTCAAATTATATACATAAAAGTATGAATTTAATCTGTATATACATATTTTTTTTTACCTGGTAAAACTTGAATTTGAACCCAAGAATATGACACAGTGTTTGCGGTTCACACATACTCATGTAAGATTCTAATAAAGATATAAAGAAGTCATCATGTTCGGGCCTGCATTCAAACACTTCTAAAATGACATCCAAAACTCTATTGGGATCCAGATTAAAGCATCCTGTAACAAATGAGATATACACAAATTCAAAAGTGATTATATGACATTTCTACTAAAAGCCATTAACTTTCAGGGATAACATATAGCAAGATAAAAATGGTTTCAAAAACAACTTCTTTTTAGTTTACTCCCCCTCTTCTGGAGGAAAATCTTCATAACTTCCAAAATTATAAGAACACCATGCATTTTACAGATAAGAATGTGACTTGCCCAGAATCATAGAATGGGTTAATGACAGAACTGGGTTGGAGCTTAAATCCTGTGATATTAGTCAAATAAACATGCTTCTATGTCATACTATCTCATCAGTTCTTGATTACTCAGATTAGTGAAAGAGATCCACATTACTAATTCTTAGCAAAATAGGCAAATAAAGCAATTTTGAAAAATGTTTTAGGGAAAAGTATGTAGAACACCAATATATGATTACAGTTTAGATTCATGAAATTGGACTATCATTTTTAGAATCATGAATAGTTTATCTTACATATACAACAAAGCTACAAAATATACTTGTACTACTGATTTATATTGATAGTTTTTTGTTAGCATCCTAAAGGAAAAAGTGGTAGTCTACTGATACCAAAGAGATAGAGAACACCTAGGAAATCGGGGAATGACAAAGGAGTTTAGATGACACAAGAAAAAAAGGAAGAAAACATCCAACTTAGGTAGAGCATGGGAAGGAAAGGGTGGGGCACTGACTAGGTGTCCACTGGCTACTTATCCATGCTAATCTCCTAGTGTGAACTAAAAAGGGACAATTGGACCTGATCTTTATAAACATTCCTACCAACCTCCCTACCCTGTTTTTTAACTCTATATGAATTCAGCTTCAGCTGTTACCACAATGATATTATAGTGAAATTGTATCATATAAACATTTAAGTTATGAGAATTCAACCATCTGCACATGGCAAAAAAAGAGAAATAATGTAAATACTATAAGCAATTCTATATACCATTCCTTTCAATAAAACATATTCTTATGACCTGGAGTAAGCATGTGATATCCATCTGCTGTTCCTTCAGTTCCCACATGCTTTGTATAAAGCTGAATGGGACTCTAGTATTGTAAATTATGTATTTTTTCATTAGATATTAAGCCCCTAAATGCAAACTAACCACATCATTGGGCCAGCAAAGAAACACTGGTTTCTTCTAATAGTAAAGAACTGTGCTGGATTTAGGGAGATATGTGAGGTTAAATATTTGAAGTTATAAATTCATGATAGTCAACTGAAGGAATTTTTAAGAAAACTCTTAAACGTATTCCTGCCCAAAACCTTTTTAAAGGATCTTCAGAGTTACTTCTACTAACTCCACACTTATTTTATTAATGCCATACTAACATCTGTTTCTTAGTATCTTACCAATCACTCAGAAAACCAAATAATCCAAATACAAGTATTTTTCCCTCTTTTATGTGACACATTTAACACACTGTTTTTTTTTTCAATTTCTCACACTAAGGAAGAAAAAAAGAACAAAAATATGATATCTTACCAATAAGAGTTCCAAGTTTTTGCAAGTTATTCAAAAATGTTTTTCAAAAGCGTGGAGAAAAAACTCCTAAATATTTTGCCTCCCTCTGTACCTCCAAAATGCTGCTAATGGCAATGTAAAATGGTACAACTACTTTGCTAAACTTGCAGTTTCTTTAAAAGTTAATGTACCATATGACCCAGCTACTCCGTTCCTAGGCTACTTACCCAAGAGAAAGAAATATCTGTGTCAATACAAAGACTTGTACGCCAATGTTCATAGCAGCATTGTTTGTAATAGGAAACACTCCCAAATGTCCACAAACATGTGAATGAATAGACAAATAGTCTAATACAAGGGTAGCATGCATAGTCAAATACTGCTCGGCAATAAAAAGGAAAGAACTATTGATACAGGCACCAACACAGAAAAAATAATTATGCTAAAATAGTAATAATGCTGAATAAGCCAGATAAGAAAAAGCAAACTAATCTAAAATGACAGAAAGCAGATCTATGGTGGCCTGGGGAGAAGGAAAGGAGGAGGAATGGAAGATAATACCAAAAGATAAGAGGGTATTTGAAGGAAAAAGACGGGAATATGCACTATCTTGTTTGGGTACTGTTTTCACAGACGTGTACATCAATTATGCCTCAATGAAACTGAAAAACTACAATCAAATTGCTATAACACTGACAACAGATTGTGTAAGACCCAGTAAATTCTCCAATCTTATAACAACTTCATGTAATACAAAATCACTAGGGCTATGGCTATAGCTCAATGGCAGAGCACTTGCCTAGCAGGTGAGAGACCCTGGGTTCAATCCCCAGTGCCACGCAAGAATTTTTAAAAACAAATAATATAAAAGCACTAAAAAGGAATAACACTTTATCATGGAGAACCAAAGAGAGACTGAATAAAATTTTCAAAACCAGCTGGCCAATAGTCACACATTAAGCCACATAGACAAAACTTGTGATTAAGGAGTAGAAGAGCAAAATGTTAGATGGAAATCTTTTAAGCATTCCATTCACTTTACTTTGAAGTTTATGAACTGTGAACCAATGACATGTTCTATTTAATAGTATTCCTTCATCAAGGGTAGTCTATCAGTAATCTATGCTGTTAACCACCATTTCTTTCTAGGTTCAATTTAAGGCAGCAATATGAAAGAAGAGATATGTGTTTTTATAAATAAATAACAGATATCAGCCTTGTAGCTTTCACAAAAGAAAAACTGGAAACTACTAACCTCAAGTATTTTAAGTTAGTCCAATAAATTCTGTTTATAAAAGTAGCCAAACTGAAGGTTTAGAAAATCTTTTTTTTAATCTTAATGTGTTAGGTAACAGTTAACCTATTTCATGAATAATGAGACTCTAATAACAATAAACTTGACTATGCAAAAAATACTTTTTTATAATGGTGGCTGTGATAGGCACTCTTGTGTTAAGGCATCTTATAAAGGTTTTTCTCTACTCCAAGGATCAATAGACAAGTGATCTTGTAAGGAATCATAAGGCTAGCTCCCTACCTCTACCACCAGTTATATTAAGGAATGTGCACACACGCGCGCGCGCGCGCGCACACACACACACACACACACACACACACACACACACACAATGCCTTTGGAGGAACAATCAGGAAACCATAGAAGGGAACAAGCAGAAAAATAAACAAATGACAAACTGTAATGGCTAGGGATTCCTTAATTTATTTAAATAAATATTAACTATCCACTATGTGCCAGGTCCCTCTATCCTCAAGGAGAATTCACACATTTTGGATGATAGATACTGAAAGAAATGCACTGCAAAATACCTGGAGTTTCCCCAAAGATGGACCAGATAGATGGTCATTATATTAGAGTGAATACAACTAGAGACAAGAAATATGATTAAACTGACAATGGTTGTTGTAGGAATAAGGTCAAATTGAAATTCTTAGCAGGACAATAATAGACCAAGATAATATTGTAAATATGACTAGGAGAGATGTTCAATTTACACATTTCAGAAAAGAAAACAAAATTACAGGCTCAATCATCATATCCCTGACAGAAGAGACCTTATGAGATTGAAAAACCATGCTTTTAACAAAAGGAAATATTTGGAATATGAAAAGAATTCCTTTAGAAACAAGCTAATAAAAATCTAGGCTTGATTATAGATCAAGGACCATAATACTCATATTTTGAAGACATTTTCAAATTAGAACGACTGTTACATGTGTACAGTTTATTCAAGACTGTCAGATACATAGTAAACAAATTGAGTCCGTACTTAAAAACATCTACTGTCTCTAGAAGTTTAGAAATACCCACTGTATATTAAATGTTGAGATAGTAAAGTATATTTTAATAATAAAATATAAGAGATATCTCATATATAAGATAATAATACTTAATGAGATATTTGTAAATATCTCTGCTAAAATTCCTATGAAATATTGTCTTTTGGGAATAGAACTGTTAAACCACCATTGTGAGCAGTATAGTACTGTCTGCACTTGTTCAATGATGTGGAGGAGGTAGGAGGGAAGCAATTGCAAACAGGTAGTATGTTAATGTGTTCATACTTGAACATTTTTAGATATCTGTTTTCTGCATGTTTTGTGCATTTTGTTTTGCTCTCTATATAGTACATATAATGGACAAATGAGTCCCAGTTTTGTAACATCTAGTCTCTAGATAGTAAAGAGGTTGCCATATATGACCAAGTAGTTAGTAAAATTAGTATATTTTGTACATTTTGTACATTTTGTGTTGAAATTCATAGGAAAACTTGTACTCTATAAATGACTTCTGGATATGAATTTGTTCAGCCATCTGTAAATATTACATATGCCTACACTTGTCCACTGGAATGAAAGTAGAAAGAACGAAGTGAGGAGGGAAAGGTTCAAGGAAAAAATGGTTGTATTAGAAGATAACCCTGGGGCTGGGGACGTGGCTCAAGCAGTAGCGCACTTGCCTGGCATGCGTGCGGCCCGGGTTTGATCCTCAGCACCACATACAAACAAAGATGTTGTGTCCGCCAATAATTAAAAAATAAATATTAAAATTCTCTCTCTCTTAAAAAAAAAAGAAGATAACCTCATATTATAACCATTGCCATATGTGCAGTTTTACTTACCAGTGCTATGTGCATAGTAGACAAGTTCTTTTGTAAAATATCTAGTTCTAGATATTTAGAAGTGCTTGATATATTTAAAAGTAGAATAAAACTTTTTTGTTAATAGCTTTGAAAAACTGATAGGAAATACTATATTTGGAATTGTTAAATCACCTCTCAACAGTTAAAAAAACTTATGCTAGACTATTTCTGCAAAATAGTGTTTGTTAAAAAAAAAAGCATCTCAGGGTAAAAAAAATAAATCAAGATGCAGAAAAATATAGCTAATAAAATAAAAGTATTATTTTTTAAAAGCCTATGCTTAAAAACATTAATCACTGTTTCATAGCAGAAGGAAAAAATGACTTTTTTATTAACATACAGTCAAGAAATTTTAATAAAGCCGATTTTTAAGTAAAGCTGGCAGACAAATAACTTCCCTTTCAAAGGAATAGGAGAAAGCTGACATGATGACAATATGGGCTAAATGGACTAGTTTTCAAATTAATTCAAAGATAATTAAATACTAACTATTCTCAAAATAATTAGTCAAAGGGGTTAAGTGTACTATAATCTTCCCGAGGTGGGGGGGAACTGTTTGGCTTGGGGTATTACTTTGTTTTCAATATTTCTCTGATCATTTGACAAGAAACCAAGAGAACTGGTGAAGTTAAAAGGACAAAGACCCTATCTTTCCTAGGCGATCTACAACTTTAGACACCAAGCAACAAATGAAGGTTCTGAACTCTTAATTCTAGGAGAAAATAAGGATTAGAGCTTAGGACAACTACACCCTGGAACTGCTAACCCCCAAACCAAAGAAGAATCATTCTTAATCTCCAAAACTAAGCTCAAGTAAAGTAGCTCCACGACTAGTTTTTAGGCAGATATATCTATATGTCTTTATAGATATAGATAGATATATGGATATATCAAGAATCAACAAGCTATGGCCTGTGGGTTAAATCCATTTGGCTGTTTTGGTAAAAAAAACTTTCACTGAAACAGTCATATTTATGTACTATCTGTGGCTACTTTCACCCTATAATGGCAGAGTGAGTAGTTGCAACAAAAAACATGACCCCAAAAAATTAAAGAAAAAAAAAACTCTTACCTCTTACAAAAAAAAAATTGCTAACTACTGATTTAGAAGGAAAGAATACCTATCAATCACTTTTTTATTGCATATATTTAGGGCATATAACAAGATGTTTTGATTTTTTGAAGGGCATCCAAAAGGGTAGTATACTTAATAGTTCAACCAAAGGAGCCCAACTCTAATATTCTTTCCTCTAATTTCTAAAAAGATGCTTTTTGCCACCCTGATGCAAGAACCACCTGACAGGATCTATATATGACTTGGCAGATCAAGAGTCTACTAATCACTCTTGATTGCTCTTTAGTAAGTCATTCAAATTTAGTGCTATACATGAGATTGCAACCACCCTACAGATTCATAATAGTTCTGCTTCTCTGCATGCACATGCTGTAAATAAATAGCCCCAGGCTGTCAAACAAGATATAAACATTCTGCTGTGCCACAATCTTTTAGGGAGCAAACAATTGCCTTTTAGATAAAGGATAATAAATAAGGATTTCTCTATCAAACCAAGTACACTGAATATAAGTACACCTAGCTTACATTATCTCTAGTAATGTACACTGAATGTAAGTGCACCTAGCTTACACATACCTCTCCTTCATTAACAAACTGATAATGGTTAGTGAAGGAGAGCGGATATAAAATAGTTTTGTGGAAGGTATTACACCTTTCTAGATGGCTCTGAAAGAGAAACTAGTGGGAATAAACACAGATAAATCCATCTGAAGATGTTATGAAAAATAAGATGCCTTGTTAGTGTGCTGTTCTAGTCAGAAGAGATGAGGTCTAAGATGGAGTTTGCAATGAGAAGGAATCTTAACAAATTCATACACTAAAAAGCATACTCATTGGAATTAAAGTCTTGACATCAATTTTCACATCAAAAGTTCCTTTCTCAGGCAACCATGGGGAATGAGAGGTCATCTGCCACAGAGAAACAAGGACTGGGCAAGGGACATAAACTTTCTAAATTTCTCCAAGTCAGGGAAGAGATAAGAACCACTATGAACTCTGTAAGAAAGGGAGAAGGAGTAATTCATTTTCTACCCAGGATTTATTTAGCACCCACATACCAGCAGTGAGGAAAAGGTACTAAACAAACCAGACCAGAAAAAAATGCTGTCCTCATGGAGTATACATTTAGTGGGAACAAGGAGGATAAAATACATAGTACTGTTGTCCATCAGTATTTGAGAGAGGCTGTTCCAGAATACCTAAGGATATCAAAATCTACACATGCTCAAATCCCTTATATAAAACAGAACATTATCTGCATATGACCTACATATATTCTCTTGTATACTTTAAACCATCTCTAGATTACTTATAATATCTAAGACAACATAAAATATATATAATGTTCCTAATACACTGTAGGTATCACACAGTATTGTTTAGGGATTAATGTCAAGAAAAGTCTCTAGACATTTAGTACTGTTTTAATTTTTTCCCTGAATGCTTTTAACCCACAGTTAGTTTAATCTGGAGATAGAGAGGGCTGACTGTACATTATAAGGTAGTAATTGCTAAAAAGAAAAATGATCAGGGAACAACAGGAAGTATTGACAGGGGTAGTCAAGAAAGGCTACAAGAGCTGCTATTTTGAGTGCATCTAGTCTATATACTTGATGGGTTAGAGCAAAGAGGCCGCCCAATAAATCAAACTGTTTATACTCATGGAATATCCACATATGTCATGAACTTATGGTGGTAATTGTCACATTTGTTCTTCAGAGATAGTAACATATCCTGCTCTCTATGAGAGCAAATTTGAAGAAAAGTAATGTACATTTTCCAGTTAGATAAAAATACACCTTCAAGCAAATCCCTTTGAACTGTTGCCCAAAATTAACAAAGGAATAAAAAGGTATAAATTCATAAGGACCAAAAAAAAAACCAGAAGAAATAAAAATGTCAACAGTGAAAACAAAGGACTGAGAAGCTTACATACCACAGTATTTTTATGGAGGGAATACTATCTTAAGTACATGACAAGATACAGGAAAGACAAATAATGCAACAGTACTAACAAGCTTCTCAAAAGAGATTTTAAAAACTACTGTAAGGAAAATGTAGAGCTTACCCTAGAAAGAACAGAAAAGAATAATTATAGGAGAACTTTTAAAAATGAGTCACTGCCAAACAGGTAAGCAAGAGTCCTGCCACTCTAGAAAACCACTCATCCTGATGTTAAATCAACACAGAGCAGAAGTAGCAAAGAAGGCAGAACTGCCAGAACTAGATGTATTTCAAAGAAAAAGTTGCATTACCTTCTACACTTTTTTGGTTACCAAAAGCCAAACCAAAGAACAAGGAAGACTGTAATAAGTATAATTTTATTTGTGTGCTTACAGAAAGCATTGGAGGAAGGGGATATGGATTAAACCACCAGCTTTCTTAAGCACATATAAATTGCAAAAACAAAGAACCACCAAGAAGCTGGGGGAAAGCATTCTACAAGATAAAAATCAATAAGCAGGAAATAAGACTCCTCTTGCAGGTCTCAAAACCTAACAGAGCATAGTGTTGCAAAATCTTCCCTAAAACAACACAACACCTAGGAAATAATAACAGAAAATCATTCTGCCATCAGAAAATCAAGATTACCCTATTTTTCTATGATTCATTCAACCTTTTTATAGAAATTAACCCTCCAAATGCTCAATGCAAATAAATAATGCTATAGAAATGTTACTTAAAAGGGAGGGAGAATAACACAGCTCTTATCTGTTACACTTTCACACATTCTGCAAGAGGCTGTTATAAAGATAATGTGCATCAAAGTCTCCTTAAAGAGATTTTTTAAAATCAAGTCCAAAAGAACCAATAGATGCCGAGGTTTCAGGAGTGCACTGAAGAAAATAAACAAAGTTTTCACATTTGTTTATTTTCTGCCCTCTATAAGATGACTGAGAAATACTTAAGAATACAGACATGCTAGAAAGAACAATAACTAATATAAACACATAAGTAACAGGTAACAAAAAGATTTTTCAGGAATACCATGTTAAATTTTATAATTACTGATAAAACACTAAAAGTATAAGCTAGACACTTCTCTTGAAATAAAAATAATTATATGTAATACAAGCCTTTTATCTTTATGGATATTATTCACTGGGTGAAAAAACTTAACATATAGAGTGTATATATCTTACCTATTAAAGATTTGATATTTTCTAAGATTAAATCACTAGTAATATTTCCAGATAAATCTTGCCCCAATTCAGCAATCAGCTTGGCATAACCTTCATTTTCTTCTCTTAACAAATTGAATTTTTGTTGCTTATAACTGAAATCAGAGAAATATCATTAAAGAGAAAAATTGAATTTCAATTAACAAGCTTGTACAGAATAGTATATTCTTCTCATTGAATATCTCTAACTTAAAACAATCATAAAAATGGCTATTGATAGACAGTTAACCTCATTGTGTCTCTTTTAGTATAGAAAGCAACAGTAGTTCATAAAAGAACCCTAACATTACTTACATGGGGAATACCAGTAACAAAAGGAAAGAATATTACTAATACCAAGGAACAATAACAAACCATTATTTCCATTATTGATAAAGAATATATAGAATATGGTCATAGCTATGAAATTATTTTACTGCTAATAATACAAAGCATTGAGTATTATTTTAACTTTATAATGGACAAAATTAACATTGGTTTCACACATGTAAAACCCACTGCCAACTCAATAATCTTAGGCTACTTTTAGAAGGAAAAAAACACAAGACCCACGCTAATCACAAAAAAATTCTTCAAAGTATACTTAGAAACTGCTAGTATTTAAAATGAGAAAGTACATTCAGCTATTTGATCTGCAACATAAGATATATATACTTACAAAAGTTTTGTCTTGATTTTAACAGACTTTTGATTGAATTGCTGTGATTGTTTGATAAGCCCTAATGATTCCAATGTTTCTGGATCCAAGCGTTCCTTTAGAACTGTGTCTGAAACTAAATACTGTATTAAAAAATAATTAAAGAACTTTTATTCTTTAGCATTCCAACGATGCATCCACAATCTTAAATATATTAAAAATAACTTTTTTACAAGAATACAAAAAACACAAATTATAATTTGCAAAAAGGCTTGGAAAGTCTAGTAAACAAAAATGACTACAAGTAATGAAATATATAGTATACAGCTCTTTCCAAAAATTTACTTAAAAATTATAAGCATGCTATTCACTGCCATCAAACAATAAGAACTACAGATGAAATTCTCATTGAGTCTGTCTTAACTGAATTTTCACTTAAGATAATACAGTACGTACTTTGGCCTCCTCTAGTTTCTACTGTAAGTCAAATTCCAACAGCAAAGACAGGATATTCTTCAAGGTCAGAGTAATGGCATTCCTACTTGGTTCCTAGACAATGATTATAACAAGTTCTAGAATTTATTATTTTTAAACTACCTCCATCTTGTCCTTGCCTAAAAAAGCGTTTATGAAAAAATTCAGTTTAAAAGCTATCTACAACCATTTCAACTTACTTTATTTATAAATGCTTACCTTTTGCTTTGTTAGGAACTTACTAGGTCAGGAATATCACTGAAAAGTTTTTCTTGTACAGTTTAAATGATTTGGTAACAAGCTTATGTCATAGAAACAGCATGTCTAATTTCATGAAACACTCAATTCCAAAACCCAAATCTCACCTTATATTGAAGTCCATAGCATGTCAATATTCTTGTCCATTAACGTGAGTAACTGTGATTATAACTTTTAAATGAAAAATTTAGAAAAGGAACTTTTTTTAAAACTTACCAAACATGCTAATACCAACTGTGTAAAATAGTCTCTCTTGCTTTTTTCTTCTAAACAATTTGTCTCAATATCTATAATGATGAAAAAGAAAGATTAAAAATTTGACTAGACTTCCTTAGCACTAAAATAAATTGCTTATTTTTTAATGACTAATTTTATTTTTGAAATTTTTTTTAGATGTTGGTGGACCTTTATTTTATTCATTTATTTATATGTGGTGCTGAGAATCAAACCCAGTGCTTCACACATGCTAGGCAAATTCTCTACCACTGAGCCACAACTCCAGCCCCAAGACTAGCTAATTTTAAAATGCTTCATTCTGAATTTGGAAAAATTTAGAATCATAGTAACATGAGATATCTTTCATATGTATATGAATGCTTTCATTTCTCCTCATATTAGAGAGTGACCCTATCACCTATGATATATCCATAAAAATAGTAAGTTGGTCACACAGGAACAACCTGCTCTGGCATTAGAAGCAACATAGCTTAAAAAAATATATACTGTTTTCACAGCTGGGCACAGTGTCACAAACCTGTAATCTCAACAACTCAAAGTGGCTAAGGCAGGAGGATTGCAAATTTAAAGCTAACCTCAGCAATTTAGCAAGTCTCTAAGCACCTTAGGGAGACCCTGCCTCAAAATGAAAAGGGTGAGATCAGTAGTAAAGCACCTCTGGGTTCCATCTCCAGTCCCAAAAAATAACAATAATACTATTCTTAAAAAAGGGAAATATTCAAGTTTAATTAGCACTTCTTGGAAACACTAACAAAGGGATGATTTCCTTTATTGCAAAGTTGAACTGGGTAATGACAAAATATCTTTTAACTCGAAAGATCCTCTAACTCTCAAACCTCTGACCACAACCACCTTGCTCAAGCTAACATACTCTAAGTTACCTGGCCACCAACATTATGAAAAGACAATACTAAAAGATACTTAATATCATATTTTGAATGACAATTCTAGTCACTAAATTAAAAATTATTCATATTTATGTTTTCTTTCTACTGAAATATTTAAAACCAGGACCTCCCTGAGTTTCAACAAATTATTCAGAAAGCTTATCAAGCTAGTTCTGGATCTGAGATGTACAGAAATAAAACAATTGGTGGTAAATGCCAAGCATCAAAAATTCCAACCAGGATTGGCAGAAAGAGCAATAATCCTGAAATCAGCCTTGTTTGCCTAACTGATTACATACTATAAGCCTATCTTTGAATTTGATAACTTAGAATATTAAAAAGACACCAATTTTAGTGAAGTAATAAAAATTGGTCTCTATGTGGTCTTAAAAAAACAACAGAAGTCCTTTCACAGCTTTGCTTAGTTTACTTTCTATTGTCAAGACTGAAAATCAAAAGAAAGGGGGATTTATCATCAAACATAACCATATTTTTCTGGCCCTTTTTCATCTTTCCTTCTTCAGGAGTTGCCATTTCTCCATATCCTGGCCACTACAACTAAGCACAAAGCCAGCTCAAGAGTATTAAGGAAATGGTAAGGGTGGGGATATGGCTCAGTGGTATAAACACTTGTCCAGCATGTGTAAGGCCTTGTGTGCACTCTGTTGCACCAAAGAGGGGGGATGGGGTTAGGGTGTGATCTATGCATGCAAAATGCAATACAATCTCCAATTTCTCATTAAGACTTTTTAGTCTGTTTGTATCTCTCATCAGGGAATCACTTTCCTCACACTATTAATCTGTTCTTCTGGTTCTTTCTCAATCTAGAACTTTAAGGATACTGACCTGAAAGGGCTGAAGCTAATCTGTAATCATTCTTTGAACCAATAACTACTTATCCTCTGGGGCCCTAAAGTCCATAATATTCACCCCCCAAGGTCCTTAAGATCAGAGAACCTATGAACAGATTCATTTTCTTCAAGTCAAGGCTGCTCTCCTCTCAGCCACCTAACATGATGACTATGATATCATTATCTCAAGTTCTGACCATATGAGCAAATGCTTAACAGGACCACAGTAAATTTTCTGTAAGTTCTTTTTAATTTCCCCTTCAATTTTAATAAAAAGCCCAACCATTTCCAACTCTTGTCCTCAGTATCTCAGAGGTCACATTAGCACATCAAGTTACAACAGCGTCCTGCTTTCAGGTTACTACAGCTCTCACACTCCCTTCACCTCACATGAAAGTTATTATGAGAACCTGGAAATTACAGCACCCTTAAAACTCTTAATATATTAGAAAGACAACATAGAAAAATCACTTCTCCGAACCTTATTTTCCTCATCTACATACCTACCTTACAAAAGATGCTATGAGGATTAAAATTAAATGGTTAATACAATACCTAAAACACACAAGGTGCTCCAAAAATAGCACCTACATCATCAGCATCATCGTTATCATCATCATCATTACAGATAGCTCACATTCTTATTCCTATTCTCCTACCTTGATCTGGGGTCACCCTTGGATTGTATTTTATTTTCTGCCAAGGGTTGGGGTGGGTGAGTGAGGGGGCAGGTGAGGGAAATTCTCTTTCCAACTGTGCCATCCTAATCTTGCTTGTAAAAATGGGCTGGATAAGCTAAAAGAAATTTCCCAAGAGAACCAAACATCATCTTAATGAATTCATGTTACCAATAAAAAGCAATGACTTGGGCTGGGTTTGTGGCAGTACAACGCTTGCCTAGCACATGCAAGGCACTGGGTTCAATCCTCAGCACCACGTAAAAAAATAAATAAATAAAATGAAGGTTGTGTGTGTGTGTGTATAGTGTGTGTGTGTATATACATATAGTGTGTGTGTATATATGTATATATATACACACACACATATATATACAATGACTTGTAACAATAATTCATATCACTAAATAACTATGAAGGGAAACTATATGCTAATAAAGTTAATAAAGACATTACTAGAACAAGTAAGCTGATAATTGATTACAAACTATGCTCTTGATTTTTTTGTTTGTTTTGGTGTGGTGGTGGTAGTGGAGATTGAGCCCAAGAGGCGTTCTACCAGTGAACTACAGTACCACCCCCTTTTATCTTTTATATTTTGAGACAAGGTCTAAGTTGCTAGGGCTGGCCTCAAACTTGTAATCCTCCTGGCCTTGGTCTCCTGAGTAGCTGGGATTTCAGCAGGGCACCACGATGACCAGACACCTAACACTATTATTAAGAAACAACAGCTTTCACAAAACATCACCTACAAATCAGTCTTTCAGTCTTACAAATATATTGTAAAAAAAAATCAAAATTGAAACTTGTATCATATTATACTTCCTTATAAACTAACAAAATATCTTTAGTACCTATTTTAAAAATTAAGTTTCAAAGGTTTTCTATTTGGCATCAATCAATCAATCCACCTGAGAGCAGGAACATGTACTTTATCTTCCAAAAAGGACAGTTTTGAGATTGAAAGAGGGCACTATCGATAATCATACCAGGAAAAATAAAACTAAAACACATGGTCGCACCATCAATGGTTTGTTCTTTTCATTTATCACTCACAGTCCACATATATTTGACCTGTTCCCAACATAACCACTATTATGAAATTTGAAACATCCCAAAGGATCTAGCACAGACATTTATATATTTGTTGAGATCAAATTCTGGACTCTCAGTGAAACATTTAATTTACCTAATTCTAGGGATTAAGATTAATGAGCTAAAATATTCATTACAGCTTGACAAACTCTCAGAGGATATCTTGTTTTACAATGATTATCATAATGTCTAGAAATGTTTCCATTTGATTCAAAGTTTTAGGAAAGCACAAAAGTGATGGGGGAAACAGTGTTCAAAGCTATTTTATTGTGAATCTAAAATTAGAAAAAAAATTGTAATCCACACTATTTTTTAAGTCTGTGCTTCCCATAGAGGGACACTACTTTTTGTTCTAAGTCAAAGAAATATTCCTTTTTTATCCTGCATGAATTCTTATTTATTCTGGACAAATAAAGAAGTTGCTATTTCCAAAGCAGGTTACTCATCCTCCAAAGTACTTTTGATTACTTAGGCTCTTTTTGCTCGTTCTAAAACTAAGAAGAATTAAAAGAGTTCAACAACAAAGTAAATATCTTGAATGTCCTAAGATTTTGACATCATTCACTGAAAACCTATTTGGCATAAATCAATTAAGTGACATTAATTATTTGGTTACTAACCTTTCAATAACTGACAAGCTAAATGTTGGAAAACTTGGCTGTTTTTACTTGAAATAATTTAGCTTAAATTTATATGAATATATGTTAAACACTCAAAAATTTTGAATTATATTTTAAAACTATAAGTGATTGTACCAACATTTGTCTCAAAATACTATATTCTCTACAAAGTAAAAAAATTGCTTTAGATTTGTAGAAACTTTTGCACACTTGTAAAATCTTTATTTTGAAAAAAACATTTTATTTAACATTAATTTATCAAACAACATACATTACAGGTGAAATAAAGATTTTATACCTACCTAATATGCAGAATACATCAGCAAGAATGGAAGGCATATCCTCACGAAATTCCTAATTTTAAAAATATATTTACAATAAATACCAGAATAATACACAACAAGTATTATGGTCTCAGAATAGCAGTACTCTTCAGTTTATTTTCTGCCAAGGGTTGGGGTGGGTGAGTGAGGGGGCAGGTGAGGGAAATTCTCTTTCCAACTGTGCCATCCTAATCTTGCTTGTAAAAATGGGCTGGATAAGCTAAAAGAAATTTCCCAAGAGAACCAAACATCATCTTAATGAATTCATGTTACCAATAAAAAGCAATGACTTGGGCTGGGGTTGTGGCTCAGCAGTAGAGTGTTCACCAAGCACGCGCAAGGTGCTGGGTTCAATCCTCAGTACCACATAAAAATAAATAAATAAAATAAAGGTATTGTGTCCAACTACAACCTAAAAAAAAAAAATTTAAAAAGATACCTGAACAAGTACCTCAGGTAAGCAATGAAATTTAGAGTACCTTATACCACCTAAAGCAGAACTGTTAAGAATGATACATTTTTTTTAATCCAAACTTTAAATGTTGTTGTGCTCATGCCTGAGTCAATACTTGATCTATGCAAAAATCATAGTGATTCAAGCTGGCTCAGTGGCACACACCTGTAATCCCAGCAGCTCAGGAAGCTGAGGCAGGAGGATCACAAGGTCAAAGCCAGCCTCAGCAACTATGAGGCACTAAGCAACTCTGTGAGACCCTGTCTCTAAATAAAATACAAAGTAGGGCTAGGGATGTGGCTCAGTGGTTAAATGCACCTGAGTTCAATCCCCAGTATGAAAAAAAAATCATAATGATTCAGAACATCAAAAAATCTAAAAACAATATAAAACTAATTAACAGAACTCAAAATTCTCTGAAGATGAAAATAATTATCAAAAACTATATTTTCTTTATACACTCAAATCCTCTGCTTCTGAATGAAAAAAAAAAAACATCAGCATTATTCTGTATTTGTCTCCTGTCTTCCTACTCCCATGCTCAATTTTAGAACCATTTGCCAACCAAGGCCATGGTTCAATTATAGCAATTATAGTTTGCTAGCACTACAGTAACTCCAAAATTAGCATATTTTCAGACACTATAATAAAGAAATTCTAAAGAAAAACAAGCAACTGCAAGGAGACACACAAAATACATTTCTGTGGCTAAGACACTGGACCCTGTGTAGTGCTATGAGAGCCAGGACAAAGATAATCAGCTGTAAAAGTATATACAAAGATATCACTAAATAATCAAAAAGAAAGGAGACACTAAGTCCAAGCACACATACGTAACACTTACTTGAACTATTTACTATTATTAAATGGGAAAATAGTTACATTCCATAAACACACTAAAACTTATATCAATGTCCAATTTACAGAATGATATCACCTTCATGGTCAACCCAATTTAGTGAAGTTTCTAAGGGCTATGAATTCTTAACTATATTTATTTGATTGCCAAGTACTAAGGCTACCTGAAGACCAAAAATGAATCAATGCAAGAATTTTCAAACATGGAATGTTGGTTGTTTAAAAACAATACCATTCCAACTGGGTGAGGTAGCACACATCTGTAATCCCAGTTACTCAGGAGGCTGAGGCAAGAGGACTGCAAGTTCAAAGCCAGCCTTAGCAATTTAGCAAGGCCCTGTCTCAAAATAAAATTTTAAAGGGGAGGGGGTGTGCTAGGGATGTTGCTCAGTGGAGGAGCATTTATCTAGCATGCACAAAGCCCTGGGTTCAACCTCTAGTATGGCAAAATAAAAAAGCAAGAGACCATTCCAACATAGATTCTGCAGGTATCAGCTGCAGACAATCTGGGTGTAAGAGAAATATCAAAGTCATACCACTCAAAACACAACAAAGAATGGGGGGGCTACGCTTAGAATTTCCTAAAGAATTGTGTACAACTACAATGCACCAATGGAAAAATGGATAGGGGGATTTCTTTATGAGTATTCCAGGAAAGCACAAAAATCATACAAAAGAGATAGTCTCCCAAAACAGAAAAAGGCTTCAGAAGCTTAAATCAACACAACAAGTGAAATTCATACTGAGACAAAAAGCTCCAGATTCTCAACTCAATATAAAAGCTGTTCTGAACTGGACAAGTATTTTTATTTGTAAAAGTCTAAAAATCAACCTAAGTAGCAACAGACTAACATGCCAATTGTAAAACTTGAATCATAGCTATTGGGTTCAATAAACCCCTCTTATACTTTGACAGCCAATCTTCCAGTTCAAATACAAACTATCATGTAAAGCATATGGTCTGAATCTTTTTTGTTTGTTTGTTTTGTTTTGTTGGCTGTAGATGGACAGAGTACTTTATTTTACTTATTCAATTTTTTAATGTGGTGCTGAGGATCGAACTCAGTGCCTCACATGTGCTAGGCAAGCACCCTACCACTGAGCCATAATCCCAGCCCATTCTGGTCTAAATCTAACTTTAATTCTAGAAATAGAAATAGCTAACTAAAGGTTTAAAAAAATCTAATATTTTCTAAAACAAACAGCAAGCAGGTGAAAACCAGAAATACATGTTAGAGCCATGGAACCATAATTTAAAATAATTTAATACTCAATTTTAAAAATAGTTAATTTTTAAACTTAACTGCAAACCAAAAACAGCTCATTATACTTTAATTAGGAGAAAATATTTTAGCCAACTTATTATTTACAGCAGCACTTTTCATTAAGGATACCTAGACTTTGTTATAGTACACTTTTTTGCTCTTCCAATTTCCCTAACATTTTCTGCATTACTTACAACCAGACAGAAAGATTAAAATACGTTTATTGCTGTCTAGCAAAAATAGCTTACCAATATTACCTTAAAAAACGAACTACTATAATTTTGAATAAAATGAAACCTAAGCTACATACACTTAAAAGATCTTTGTATCAGCTGGGCATGGTGACACACCCAGGCCTGTAATCCCAATGATTTGGGAGGCTGAGGCAGGAGGACTGCAAGTTCAAAGGCAGCCCTAAGCAATTTTAGCAAGATCCTGTCTCAAAAAAAACTTTTTTTTTAAAGGGATGGGGATGTGGCTCAGTGGCTAAGCACCCCTGGGTTCAGTCCCTGGAAAGATCTTTATATTAAACTCAAAAGGAGATATGCAACAATTAAGTTTTAAACATAGATATACTTACACTAATGTCATTAAGAACATTAGATGCCTGTTCGTGCTTTAGATTTCCTTTAATGACATGGTATGACAACTCATAGAGAGCTTGCTGGAAATCTGTTAAACACAAAAGAAATAGTTGAAGGACACATTCTTCTGAACATGATAGGCAGATTTTTGAGGGAAATCGATACATTTCCTACATCTCAGAATTACTATAAACATCAATAATAAAAAGAAAAATATACTTCTAATGTTTTTATCTAGTAGTTTATACTTTCATTTTTTACAAAAATCCAATGCTAATGTGTTCTTTTACTTATGTCTACAGACTCCACATATTTACATCAACTGTGCATATTGTTTGGTATTTTGATTCCCCTACAACACTTCTAAAAACATTTATTCATGCTACTGTAAGGGGGCAAATAGATGAGGATGGTGGGAACATGAGGTTAAGAAAATAATTCTATAAAATAAGCCCCCTGTACTAACTCCCCACAGGCTTTCTTTGCCAAAAAGCAATCTGCCTACAGCCCCACCTGGCCTGAGGGGACAGGAAATGTCACATTCCTCAACTAACTCAGGCAGGGGGCAGAAGGCCTGGCATTAAGTGTAGATAATGAAAGATGGGGGTGGAGAAAGGATGATGGCTGGTTATCACTGGGAGGCTAAAAGCTAACCACTGGGATCACACTTTCCAGATCTAACACCTCCACACCTCCAGGGATCCAATTTCCCAACACAATGGATTACACCAGTGCTGCTCCTTCTTGCCCTTAGGCACAAACAAGGAGAAAAGAGAGAAGGGGGTGGGGGGGAGACTCTGGGGTCTATAACAGAGCAAGACACACCCACATCCATAAAATTTCAACAGCCCCATTTCCTGAAAAAAAAAAAATCTTTTGTTTTTGGAGTGGACACCTTCTGCTGGCCATCTTCAGTTCCACACACTAAAAACTTTACCTCTTTCTAACCACTAAAATCAGGAAAACAAGCACCTCTAAAAACACTTATATAAAATAAATCCTATTATTATTCCCTTTTGAGGGAAATCATAATTTCAGGGCAAAACAGCAAGCAAAAAATGAAATATTTAAAAATCTTCTCTCCTGGTATGACTACTATTTACAAAACAGGGACATGACAGATATCAAAGCATGTATCAATCTCCTTTTTACCAATAAAAACATGATTTTACAATGAAATAAATTTGTCCATTAAATCATTTGCTAAATAAATATAACTAAATTACTCCAATTCTCTATGAGAAATCATTACATATATTCTGCCTTTTTACAACTATGCCTTCATAGTGCTTATAACTATATATTAAAACAGAAAATGCCAGGCATGGTGATACGTGCCTGTAATCCCAGCAGCTCCAGGGTCTGAGTTCAAAGCCAGCCTCAGCAAAAGCGAAGCACTAAGCAACTCAGTGAGACCCTGTTGCTACATAAAATACAAAAAAGGGATGAGGATGGGCTCAGTGGTTGAATGTCCCCGAGTTCAATCCCCAGTACCAAAAAGGAAAAATTTCTACCTGTTGGTACGGTAGGAACATGACATCAATTTCATGCCTTCCATTTTCATTAATAAAACATCTTACCACACACAATATTTATTTCAAATTATCCAGACAGCTACGATTTGGGTAAGAGGTTTACTGGGGAACTGAACCCAGCCAGAGGTTTTTGTTTTGTTTTTTTTTTTAACTGAGAAACATCCCCAACCCTTTTTATTTCTTATTTTGAGTCAAGATCTCACTAAGTTGTTTAGAGCCTCGCTGAGTTGCTGAAGCTGGCCTTGAACTTGTGATCCTCCTGTCTTAGCCTTCAGAATCCCTGGGATTACTGGTATACACCAAGGTGCCTAGCTAAAAAATATTGTTTTAATAAAAGCAATCACTCAGAAGGACAAAACAGGTGATTATCATAAGCTACGATCCAATAAGAGTTATGTCCCCTAAAGATCATGGGGGCTCAGGGTATTCTCTTTATCACAGAGAAAAATTTAAAAAGAGATAACAAATGGGGTCATCTTGCTAACACTGATAGGACATAAAAACATTCACATTATAATCAATTAAGTAGCAAAGATAGTCCCCAATTCACAAGTTTTCTAAATGCTTATTTAAAAGTGGTTAGGAACTCCCATTGTGTTTATCTAGAGTAATAGTAAGTGATATTTTAAGTCAACCAGGCTAATCACACAAAAGCATGTAAAATCTATACTGGAGTCAAAAAGAAAGCTTTACAATGGTGGGAGAAATTTATGTTTTTTGTTTTTTAAGAGAGAGAGACAATTTTTTAATATTTATTTTTTAGTTTTTTGGTGGACACAACATCTATATTTTAGTTTTATGTGGTGCTGAGGATCAAACCCAGGGCCCCGCGATGACAGGTGAGCGAGTTACCACTTGAGCCACATCCCCAGCCCGGGAGAAATTTATAATTACACACACAAAAAAAATTAACAGAACACTTTGTATGCCATTAGTGTTATGTTCTAGCCAAGAAATTGCCTACATTTTGCCCGTGTCCTGAGACTTTCTGTGGGGTTGATTTAAAAGTGGTGGACTAATTCTTAATCTGACATAAGAAATTTCTAGGCAGGATATTATTTAGGCAGTGGCATGGGTATTGCTGGAGGCTTTTAGCCAAGTTTATTGCAATATTCAGGAACACAAGGCACAACGAAAAGATTTGAAAACCCTGGACTTGAAAGGTGGGAGTAAAACTGGAGCTAAGGAAGTAACAGTTGTTAAAGATATCAGGGCCACTAAAGAATGTTAAAAACTCTGCCCAGAGACAAAAAGAAAGATGGCTTGAGGGAATCACAGGAATTAGCAAGACTACAACCATCTTAGGCTCAAGAGAGTTTAAGAAAAAAATGAATCTATGGGTAAATGGCAGAAAGATCAATAGAAGAAAGGGAGCAGAGGTGGGTAGAAGGAAGGGGAAGGAGAGGTACTGGGGTATGAATTAGAACAAGACATATTCCATGTTTGTATAATTATGTCAAAATGGATTCTACTATTGCCTGGTATAAAGGCACACACTTGTAATCCCAGCAGCTCAGATGTGCTCCAGATGGTGGACACAGAACTGCAGGACTTGTTTGCCCAACTGGATTTTGGTCTTGTTTTGGTCCCATCCCTTCTTTCTATGCCCCTCTTTTTTCTAAATAGAAATGTAACTTTGTACCTTTACATATATGACACCAATAAATTGATTTTGATTTTTTCTAAGGAGCTCACAATACAAGTCTGCCCTGAAACTAAGAGACTTTGTACTTGAACTTTTGGGCAATGCTTAAACTACATTGAGACTATAGGAACTCTTGGAAACAGACTAACTGTACTTTGCATTGTGAGATAAGTCTGTACTTCTAGGGACCAGAGGTAGAACATTATGGTTTAAGATATAAGGTGTCCCCCAAGAGCTTATGTGTAAGAACATTCAGAAGTGAACTGAATGGGTTCTGTCTCACCTAGATCCCTGAGGAATGGAGCCAACTGTCTATCAACTGAGTCGTCTGAAACCATGAGCCGCCAAATAAACATTTCCTCCTCTAAAATTGTTCCTATCTGTGTTTTTAGTCACAGCAACTAAAAAGATAACTAAAACACCACCAGTTCTTGGTTATGTCTAATTTCACTAGTACTATTCATGATTATAAGCCATCATCACATTGTTGTTTTATTGGTGAAGGTCAGGGATAATTTAGAAAAGGAACAAGCAGTGTGTACCTGAAATGAAATTAACAGCCTGCCTGAAATGAAATTAATTCAAGGGAGGGATAGAAATGAAAGGTCAAAGGGACACTACACAAACTTAATAACCCAGAACAGCAACAAAGACAATTCCAAAGAAATGGCATTCACTCAGTTTTGTGCATGGACTACCAAATGGGGACCTCAGACAGGAGCCTAACTATTGGCAGAGATCAGCCAAAATGCACATGTGTTGAAAAAGCAAACAGGGTTAAAAAAAGAGCACTCACTGGCTGTTCAGCCAATGAGGCCACATACATAACTATTTTTGGTTTCACACATGAATCAAAATAACCATAAAAATTAACAATGATCCAACAGTTATTAAAGATCCACAGTCCCACTTAAAACTGAAAGAATAGTAATGCTGTGTTATATTAACATCATGGGTTGTTTTTTTCTTTTTTGTTTTTTTTTTTTAAGGACTTTCTTATCCATCAAGGTTTCAAGCAAAAATCAAAGTTAACTGAGTAGTTAGAAAGTGATTTTAAGTGTGGGGGAGACAAAAATTAAGTATCCATGTGTTTTTGTAATGCTGGGCTTGAACCCAGGGCTTCAAACATGTTAGGCAAACACTTCATCACTGAGCTACACCCCCAAGTGATTTTATGAAGAAATATTTTTATACATCCTTAATTTCTGGCAGTCAACTGACTTACTCAAACAAGAACATGTTACCTTAACCACAAAAGTCTTTATGAGTGATCATACAATCTTTTTTTTCTTTCAGTGCTTGGGATTAACCCCGAGCCTCACGATTGCTAGGCAAGTGCTCTATTGCTAAGCTAAACTGCCAGTCCTTAATTATACAATTTTATAAGTAGGATAAACAAGTTAATAATATTGGGGGGGGGGGTTGTACGCTAAGGATGTTAAATCAAAAATGGCTCTTTGATTTGTTAAGAAAAATACTTTCCACTAAAGCATATAAACATTCCTTTTTTCTGGGGAGGTGGGGGGTGGGGACTGAAGTCGGGGTACTCAACCATTGAGCCACATCCCCAGCCCTATTTTGTATTTTGTTTAGAGACTGAGTTGCTTAGTGCCTTGCTTTTATTGTGGCTGGCTTTGAACTTGCAATCTTCCTGTCTCAGCCTCCCCAGCCACTGGGATTACAGGCTTGCACCACTACACCCAGGTAAATGTTCTTTAAAAAGTATATCCTGTAATGTTAAGGTAATATTTAATTTTTTATAAAAATGAAAGTAAACATTTATTGGAAAACATTCTGTCCTAATCTTCTACTCACAAAATCATAATTTAAATAAGCAAAATAAATTTTACATATTGATTTTTAAAAATAGAATGTTGGTTGTAAAAGTATTTTTTCATACTAAAAACACTGTAGGTTTTATGCTCAACAAAAGCTACATGTGAAAAATGCTTAAAACTTAATTGATACAATTGCTTTTATTCTTGCCCCTCCTTTGCCAAATCCAATACCTATTTTTAAATTAATAAATGTTTAATAGTAAAATCCTTCAAAATTCAAATCTCCATCCAATTTAATTATATAACATTTTACATAATAAATCATATTTGTGTGATATGCAGTAAACAACTCCTTTGCTTTTCATGTTTTCCATGACAACTGCCTTTAACAAGATCCCCAGGTACCACCTGAACATAATCAGCTTTAGTAAAAACACTGAACTCTGGAAATTTTCTAGTACAAACAAAAACAGTTTTTCTTTCCAGACTAGTTTTTTCTCAACTTTATGATTGGTACAGCTAACTGCTAAAATTTAACTAAATATACAAAGTCCCAATTATAAAAATTAGTTAACAGCATATGACTATAATGCAGGTCAAATACAAGATATATACTCTTACTATAATTTTAATCCTGAGTGTAATGTATTCATATAAATGCTTTACATAATGTGGACTCTTATACATTTGGTTTTCATATATAAAAATGAATGGAAAGCAGGATAGTTACAAATTTTAATCAAGCCAAAAACGACAGCTATGAAACTTTTAAAAATCTTACCTCTATAAGTAGAACTATCATGGCTTTTATTTTCACTGAGAATCCGGCATAAATGCAAACTAGAATAAAACAGAAAAAAAAATCTGTATCAATTTCCAATCCTAACACTAGAAGAGTCTTATAAATAAAGTTATATCAGTTAAAAAATATATGGAACTGGATGTGGTGGTTCACGCCTGTAATCCCAGCTACTCATGAGACTAAAGCAGGAGGATCAAAAGTTCAAGGGCAGCCTCAGCTACTTACAGAGACCCTGTCTCAAAATAAAAACAAAACAGGCAGTGGATTTAGTTCAGTGTATATAGAGTGTTGCTGGGGTGGGGTTCAATCTTCCATACTGCAGGAGAGAGAAAATAGAAAGATTAGGGCAAAAACAGCATTTGAACAAATGATAAGAAACAACTCAGTTTTCCAGAACTGAAGCAAAATCTACATCTGGGAATATAATAGTTAAGATACAGAAAACCAAAGACAAAATTTTTCAAGCACCTAAAGGATAAAAGACAAGATTATATCATCATTAGAGGACTTCACAAAGTAAAAAAATTTAAAAAAAAAAACTAAATGCCAGAGATAGTGAAGATAGAGATAGTGGAGATTCACCATGCAGAAACAAAGTATGTGCAAATGTGAATTCTATACCCAAAGAAAATAGTTCCAAAAAAAGGCAAACTAAAGACTGAACTTCAGTCAGTCACAAAGGCATACATCTATAATCCCAGAGACTCAGGCAGGATGATCAAAAGTCAAATTCTTACTATACACACATCAGATAGAGCACTAATCTCTAGGATATCTAAACACAAAAATCTTAACACCAAAAAAAAAAAAATACTTCTCAGAAGATATACAATCAGTCAACAAATATATGAAAAAATGATCAACATCTCTAGCAATTAGAGAAATGCAAATCAAAACTACTCCTCTAAGATTTCATCTCACTCCAGTTAGAATGACAGCTATTAAGAATACAAACAACAATACGTGTTAGCAAGGATGTGGGGGAAAAGGCACACTCATGCATTGCTGATAGGACTGAAAATTGGTGTAGCCAGTTTGGAAAGCAGTATAGAGAATCCTTGGAAACCTGAGAATGGAGCCACCATTTGACCCAGCTATCCCACTCCTTGGTCTATACCCGAAGGACTTAAAAACAGCATACTACAGGGACACAGCCACATCAATGTTTACTGCACCACAATTCACAATAGCTAAACTGTGGAACCAACCTAGATGCCCTTCAGTAGATGAATGGATCAAGAAAATGTGTTATATATACATAATGGAATATTATTCAGCATTAAGAGAGAACAAAATCATGGCATTTGCAGGTAAATGGATGGAGTTGGAGAAGATAATGCAAAGTGAAGTTAGCCAAACCCAAAAACCAAATGCTTTCTCTGATTTAAGGCTGATGATTCATAATGTGGTGGGAGTGGGGGGCATGGGAGGATTAGATGTACTCTAGATAGGGCAAAGGAAGGTAGGGAGCATGGGGGTAGGAAAGATGGACATCATTAACTAAGTACATGTATGAAGACACAAATGGTATGACTCTACTTTGTGTACAACAAGAGATACAAAAAATTGTGCTCTATATGTGTAATATGAATTGGATTGCATTCTGCTGTCATATATAACAAATTAAAATGAAAAAAAAAGTCCAAGGCCAGCCTCAGCAACTTTGTGAGACCCTAACTCAAAATTTAAAAGAGGCTGGGAATGTAACTCAGCAGCAATATGCCCCTGGGTTTAATTTCTAGTAAAAAAAAAAAAAAAAAAAAGATCAAACTTCAAAAAACCAAAATAGAGTTTACGCATTAAATGAAATGCTTAAGGAACTTCCCCACTCTTTTTTTGCAGCGCTGGGTCTCACAAACAGGTCTCCAGAAAGCTAGGCAAGCACACTAACTGAACTACCAATCCACCTCCAAGCCCTAAGGATATTATTTAGGCAGGATAATAAAGATTCCAGATAGAACCTTAGAGTTACAGTAAAAAGTACATACAGGAAAAATAATAAACATATAGGTAATTCTAAATGAATGTTGTTATCATCATCATCATCATGGTATTTAAATATATACAGTATTAAGTATATATAGTTAGAAAAATAATACCAAAATATATCAAGACTAAATTAAACTTATCCCAAACACACAAGGTTCTTTCAAAGTAATTTACACCACTGTTTTCTAATTGTCTTTTTTCGTGTTTTTTTCCCCCACATTATGGGGTTAGGGATGTAGCTCAGTGGCAAAGCACATGTGCAAAGCCCTGGGTTCAATCCCTAGCACAGCAAAAAAAGGAAGTAAAATCATATAATAGTTCAAAAGAAGCATGAAAAGCATTAGACAGGGGTTGGGGATCTAGTTCAGTGGCAGAACACTTGCCTAATATGCATGATGCCTGGATTTGCTCCCCAGCACCATGAGAAAAATATATATATATAACAAAAGTCACTATTCATTCATTTTTTAATAATTTTTAAAGTCTCTTAGGTGAACAATAGAAGGGAATTTATTTAATTCAATGAAGTAGCAGTTCTGAGCATGTGCTTCAACAAACCCAATCTCTGAGTTTCTCTGGAGATCTGCAATATCAAACTTAAATTCATAATAATACCCAGACATCATTTTCTTTTATTGCTGTACAGATATTTTCATTAATAACCCAAGAGCAGTGAATGGTAAGACTGCTGGGTGCCTAGGCACATACCAAGACAGTAGCACCAAACTGTCTTATTGACTTCTTCATGGTCAAGAACTCAAAGCAAATTTAAAAAAAAAAAAAAAAAAAAAGGCCAATCTAAAGATGTCAACAGTCAGTTTATTTCAGAATTTCCTTGGGGCTGGGGATGTAATTCAGTAGTAGAGCAGTAAAGCACCTGTCTGGCATGCACAAAACCCTGGATTTGGACCCGAGTACCACAAAAGAATAAAATGAACTTGCATACAATTTAAATGTGGCTAGTGAGGCCTAGCTAGCCCTAAACTGTGTTGTTTGTTTGGGGGTTTGGGTTTTCTTTTTTCCTTTTTGTGTACCAAGATTGAACCCAGGGGTGCTGAACCAAAGAACATTCCCCAGCGCCCTCGCCACCCTTTTGAGACAGAGTCCAAGTTGCCTACGGCCTTGCTAAATTGCTAAGGGTAGCCTTAAACTCACAATCCTGCCTCAGCCTCCCCAGTCACAATTATAGGAGTACACCACCATGCCCAGCCCAAATCTAATTTTAATTTTTAATTAAGAAAAAACAAATAAATGCCCTTGATGGGACTGATGTCAGTAATAACAGACTGGGAATCCCCAAAACTTCCTCCCTCCTATTAAAACATCCATTCAACAACACAAAAAACAATTCCCTTTATGAGGAATCTAGACACCAATTGAAAGACTCCTGTACCCAAGGCAAGTACAAAATCAGTCACATTGAAGCCAGCAAGAAAGTTCTGGGGATGTTCTCACCAGAGTTGCTCCCCACCCCACCCCAGCACAGTTATCATGTGATCAGGCAAAAGCTCCGACACCTGAAGTCTCCCAAGGGAGAAAAACAGAAGACTGGACTCTATGTCCAAAGTGCTGAGCATTTCACAAGAGTAAACCAAGGGAGGAGTTTCTATCTTGCCTGTATTGGAATACAGATGGATCTTAGTAGCCTGAGCTGGGCATCACGCTATAGCTCCATAGGACCAATTGCTTCTTCCTTAGGGAAAACAGAGTGGATAACATGTCCAACATTCCATCTTTTGCTAGAACTGCAGAAGGGACTGGGCTGTGACTGACCTGAATCAGGGTGCTAACAGGATCTGGCTTACTCAAGATGCAGGGAGTGGGGGGCACTGAGAACATAAAAGGGGGCTGGTAGGCATGACACTACTTCAAAGGTGTATAATACATGAACACCAGACAGACCAAGACATCACAAACCCCCAAAACAAAAAGAAACCAGCAATTTTCTTACTATAATGTATAAACACAAATCCAGAGAAGACATACCCACAGAAAAGGTTTGAGAGGCTCCAACAATTCCTCAGCTGGACTGATAAAAGTTCTCCCCTTTATAAAGTCAGTCCATAAGGAGTATAAGGACTAGGAAAGAAAATTTGCATATTTTCAAATGTGCAAATACCAATACAAAGCTACAAGGAACATGGAGAAACAGGAAGGCATGGCCAAGGACCAAAATAAATCTGAGTTACCCAAGAAAGGATTCAAAATAACTATCATAACAATGTTCAACAAGCTCAGGAAAATGATGTATGAACAAAACAACAATTTCAACAAAGAGCAAATATTTTAAAAGAACCAGAGAGAAAGTCTGGAACTGAAGAATGCAAAAAACTGAACTAAACTGGGCGCAGTGGCGCAAACCCATAATCCCAGCAGCTCAGGAGGCTAAAACAGGGGTATCCAGAGTTCAAAGCCAACCTCAGCAACTTAGCAAAGCACTAAGCAACTCAGTGAGAGCCTGTCTCTAATAAAATACAAAACAGGGCTGGAGATGTGGCTCAATGGTTAAATGCCCCTGAGTTCAATTCCCAGAACAACAAAAAAAAAAAAAAAAAAAAAAAAAACCTGAACTAAAAAAATCCAGTAAAGGAGTTCACCAGCAGACATTACCAAGCAGAAGAATCCATGAACTCAAAGACAGGTCAGAAATTATCCAGTCAGAGAACTGAAGTAGGAAAAAAGAGTGAAAAGAACTTAACAGACTCTGGAACAATATTAAGTAAACCAATATATGCACCATGGGAGTTGCAGAAGAATGGACCATTACTTTGGTCAAAAACTTCCCAAATATGGATAACAGATATCCAGATTCAAGAAGCTCAAAGGATCCCAAATATGATAAACGCAAAAAGGTCCACACCAAGTCATATAATCAAATTCTCAAAAGTCAAGAACAGAAGACAGATGTTAATAGTAGTATGAGAAAAGTATCACATATGAGGTAAACTCTATTAATAATAACAGTGAATTTCCCAGCAGACATCTTGCAGGTAGAAAAGTGGGATTAAGAAAAAAATGACAACCATGAATACCATATTTGACAAAAAAA